ATATATTTATAACATATATATATATATATATATAAACATATATATATATATATAAATTTTTATTTTAACAATGTGCAATATATGGTCTAATATAGTTACATATCGCATCCTTACGTAGTGACAACATCAACGTGATGGACTGGTGGAGGCGAGAGAAGGGTGCTGTAGCCCAACTGCAAAAGGCGCTTAGTCTTGTTGAGCTACCTGAGCAGAGGGACTTCTTCACCAACTACACTCGCGATGAGAAAGAAATGGTCGACGGACGGTACGGGTACGTGGATTCCGACTCATATGGCTCGGCGGACACATACACGGTATGTTTTGTTGCCGATTATTGTGTTTCATTATTTGTGGTATGTTATGTTGCCGATTATTGTGTTTTATTATTTTGTGGTATGTTTTGTAGTTCTCAGGTCACTGTGTTCTATTATTTTGCCGAGACATACTTGTATGCGCCTGTATTTTGTTTTAATAGTTTGTCTATGCACAATTATATGCGCTGGTTTAGTCACAAATAAACATACGATGAGCGGTGCATGGCACTGTACTATCAGCTGCGGTCAGCAACTATGTGGCATAAGGAATCTGTTGTGATTTTGAGTGCCTATGTACGCGTGGACGTGTATGTATATTTCCGGAACGTTGAAAACGATTTGTTCTCAGGCCACGTACGCTGAGTATGCAATGATAGATATCAGAATGGATGAGAAATGATTTGAACGCGGTTGGAACCACCGCAGCAGCAGCAGTAGTTCTCCTTATGAACGCTACCAATAAAAGAATGGTTCGTATCGATTAGACATGTGCGTTTGTGCATTATAAAAACCTTAAAACCCTAACCTTTGAACTCTTCGCACATGTGGTCTCAGGAAGTGCTCCATGAAGCAGGTGTGTCCGCAGAACACACCACAGTTTTGGGCGTACAAGTGCAAGTACCGGCATGCGAGGAAGTGATCTGGATTATCCAGCCCATGACAGAGGTGTGTGTGTGTATTGCGTATGTGTACATATCGGAAACTGGTGTGTGCACGAATGCCCACAGGAGCACGGGGCTGCTTTCTGGCTGTAGAAGTACTGTACTAAAAACACCAATACTCATCTGTGCCTGCAATCATTCGCCGCCGACAAACATGTGTTACTCTCTCCGCCGAATCATGGCTTGGCTAATCCGGTGCAGATAACAGATCTATTTTTTGAACGATCGAAACAGCAGATAGTTAGCTTATCAGGGTGAATATACTACAGCCACCAGTTTAACGGGCGCCTATACCCAAATCCCCTACACCGCTCACTGACCTCTGAATACAATACCACCCCACCCGTAGTCTGGCGATAAGGTGCCGCTGAGCAATCGCTTGGTGTTCCAGGCCGAAGTTCGGGGGCCGTCAGTTATCGTCCCAACCATTAAGGCAAATGCGGATGGGACGTACCATGCGACATTCACACCCACTGTGAAAGGGTCGTACCAGGTATTGTAACTGCCAGTCATCCGAGTTCAGAGTTGGAATGGGTAGTAGTGGGGTAGTGATAGAGCGTACTATTGTCAGACTGTCTGTATTGCGGCGGGTGTGCTGATAATAAACGGATTGTCAACAGGGCGTATGTGTAGAGTGAGGGGGTTAATGTCATTGGCTTCATTTAGTGCTATTTGCTCTACACCTTTATGGAGTGATGGGTATTTGTAAGTCTTTTAGAAGCTTCATGCTGTGTTGTGCAGTGGTGTTGTTTGTTGATGGGAGTTGTTATGCAAGGTAATGGACTACCGTTGAGGACGCACTTTATACTACCTATGCGTGTAAACCTTTGACTGTGCTATACCGAACAGTTCAAGTTATATAAATATTATTTTTTTGTTTCTCAAAAGCGTAGCGATGTTTTGGTTTGCTCCAAGAACGTTGTACCTATTATAGTGTGCGTGCACAGGCTTATTTTTAGTACCACTTCTAATACCGTTGTATGTACGCCGCATACGGAGGATACTATATGTGGTCAGGCTTATCTCGTTACCTCAGTACAAACACGGTATGTATGTACCAAGGACTCATACCTGAGTCTGTACTGACAAAGAACTCCATACACTCAACCCAGGTGTATATCCGTCTGGATCTGGCACGTGGTGTCGGAGACACAAACTGTTGGCGCGAAGAAACTCATTTTATGATCGCTCAGGTGCTGCCGAACGGTCCATCGGAGCTTAAGGTAAGCATTTATACTTCTCTACGTGAAAATATCAACCGTCATTGTACGTGGTTGTAAGATCAAACTGGTCATTGTATGTGGCTATATGTGGCCTGTCATGTCAATGGTTATAGGCTTGTAGTGCAATGTTCGTTGTCGTTTGCCGACGATGTTAGTATATTAGTATATTCCATAGATATTAGTATACTAGTATATTCATATATTTGATTATCTGTGAAGTGTATGATGATGTGTGCAGGTGGGTGGTTCAGACATGACATATACCAGTCAATTGCTCTGGCGAATCCGTGAATAGCTCTGGCTGTGGTACAAGGCAGTATCTTTGCATGTAACCCTAAACCCTTACGGTCAAGTTCACACCGAGTTATATCAAAACACATTTACTGATTATGATTTGTAGATATGTTCCCCGATATATAGCTGTTCTCAGAGTCGCACCCACTCATTCCGATGCGCATGAATGTTATCAAGGTGACGGGGCCCAATGATCCGACCACCTGCGTTAAACTCGCCGAAGCTCGGGCGCTCTCGACTACACACACCGGTGAGTGGCGCAAAGTGGACTGTGGTGCGTACACCAGCCCTGTTGAAGGAGAAGAAGGGGCCGGTCAGAATGCCACAGATGCCTCTGAGGCGATGGACCAGGGCAAGGTGAAGTTACCCAAAGGATGGACGGAAGACGAATCGATGAAGCCAGTGATCACAGACTATATCAGGAAGGCTTGCAAGGCCGGGATGGTGGAGAACGTGCAGGGCTGGTACGGCGATGCTCTTGATAAGACACTAGGTAAGTGGCGACGGAGGTCTGGTTTATAAACTAGGTGAGTGGTGACGGGGGACTGGTTTATAAACTAGGTAAGTGGTGACGGGGGTCGGGTTTATAAACTAGGTAAGTGGTGACGGGGGTCTGGTTTATGAACTAGGTGAGTGGTGACGGGGGTCGGGTTTATAAACTAGGTAAGTGGTGATGGGGGTCTGGTTTATAAACTAGGTGAGTGGTGACGGGGGTCTGGTTTTAGTTGGTAGCTAGGCTCGACACACAAACAGTGCCGAGAGCTACTGCGTGCTCAATATGGTGCATGTTTTGTTCGCCCGGGCGCTAGGGTTGTGTGTGCGTGCAGGGTTTTGAACCCCATCCATACACCCTTGTGGATAGGACAACACACATTCCTTATGTACGTGCCATAACGGAACTATTTGACGGTTTATGGGAACAGTGTGCAAATCGACTAACCACACACACCGTACATGGGCGCAGGCCCAGATAGGTTCATGGACCGCCGCGCCAGAGGCTGTCAATATGGCCGCGAGTCCAATCAAACACACAGTAAGCTGCAAAAGGTATGGTGCGATGCATTTGATAGCTATGGGTATGTGTCTAGTTACCGATGGATCACACAAGGAATTGCTGATGAGTAGGCAACAAAAGCTCTGTTGTGTGGTCCAATACGATAAACTCTATTGCGTTTACGGCTCAGGCATACTCCCTATACCCTAGTGGGACTGTTGATCACACAATGCTAAAGTACTGATTCCATCGCGTTTACGACTAAGGCATACTCCCTATACCGTAGAAGAACTGTCCATCCCACACTGCTAGAGTACTGATTCGCCCGTGGTGCAGCTATGGGCAAATGTCGCGGGGCGTGGTACAAGGACTAGCATGCATACGTTACACCATTGGACGGTAGGGACTAATTGTCCTATAAGTAGTTGGTCTTATTAGACTGTAGGGACTAGTTGTCCTATAAGTAGTTATCTTATTAGACGGTAGGGACTAGTTGTCCTATAAGTGGCTATCTTATTAGACGGTAGGAACTAGTTGTCCTATAAGTAGTTATCTTATAAGTGGTCTCCTGTACGAGCATACACAACCATCCGTCATCCGGTTGGCCCCAATTACCTACACTAATGAATCACTCGTATGCCTCGACCTATATCACTGACCAATAATGGCAGCGGAAGACTTGTATAGTCCACTACTTCGCAGTGATTATCTGCTGATATGTATGAATCTAACACGTGCAGGCAAATGCAGCAGGGACGTCGCTTAGCAACCGAGACGCGCACCCGTTCTTCCCCAACGTCACCGACCAGAACATGCCGCCGCTGATGTTCTACCCATTCGATGTGCAAACGGCAGAGGCAATGGACTACGGCTGTATGCGGAATAAGTGGGTGCACCTGTGGGGCGATTCGTTGGATAGGAGTGCACTGAGAGATTCCATCATCCCCATTTACAATGAGATGCTCGGCGAACAGGTATGGTGATTGGATATAAGGTGTTGCGTTCATGGCTTGCTGGCTGAATGTTGATATAAAGCCATACTTGTGATGTTGGGTGATATGAAAGAGGTTTCACATCTATGCTATCGGTCCTTGGTGTTTTGTGGGGAGAATAAACTAGGTTCAGCGGCGCTAGGTAAGTAGGAAATCTATATCTATATATACATATCTCATAACCACATACTGATTTTATGTACATCATTTTTAAGCGCAGTGTGTGGACAGTTCGGTCCCTTATGTGGACACTGCGGTTGTGGACCCGCACAAGCGTCTCCGCGTCGATGTAGTCATACACCACTGGCCCAAGGCAAACATTACCTTCTCATTCATGGCTGTGACCAAGCGCATTCGAGCGCCTGATTTCTACATGTTTGATGATGAAAAAGGTCATATCCGGGATACTTGGCCTTCTTTTGCCATCCATCAGATGGTAAGTAAAGTTGCAACGCTTATATTTTTCACATTTGTTTGCGTTAAGCGATATAGGAGGCCGTCCAGCGGAATATATTTGCATTAATAACGTATATGATTCATTCCCGAACATGTTGTCTAGTTAATCTATGGTGTTAACCAGGGGTTGTTATCTTAGAGCGTGAAGTGAATACACACACACACACAATAGTACTGTAAGCCAATGTTTGCCGCTACTACGTTAGGAAACTAATTATATGCACAACTGCATAGCTTCTTCAAATATCCAAACACATACACTGAGCTATGATTTAACAGCACAATCAACTCAACTACATACACTGAGCTACAGTTAAACAGCATAAACAACTCAACTACATACAATGAGCTACGATTTAACAGCACAAACAACTCAACTACATACACTGAGCTACCATTAGCAGCACAACCAACTCAACTACATACACTGAGCTACGATTTAACAGCACAACCAACTCAACTACATACACTGAGCTACAATTTAACAGCACAAACCACACAACTACATACACTGAGCTACAATTCAACAGCACAAACAACTCAACTACATACACTGACAATTTTAACAGCACAACCAACAACCATGCAGTTGGTTCAACCACTCACACAATCACCGAAGTGTGCCACGAATCTTTTTATTTCCGGAAACAAACCTCCACTGTGCATAGTCGCATCTGTATATTCATAAATCCCCTACACTGCCACACACGCGCCTGAGTTTCCACCAGGACACTTACTGAGCCACACACCTCCGCAATCACACACCCCAACAGTGGGCCACTGTGACGCCGTTGACTGGCATGAGCCGTCCCTCGGCGTTTGTCTTCAGCCTGGCGTTGCACGCGGCAGCACACAAGGTCACAACAGACGCCTACGACGCAACTCTGCGAAACGTAAGGGATCGTTCGTATGTTTAATAGGGTTATTGTTTTGTTTATATGGGTGTGTATGGTGATGTTCTGCTGCTATGATAAGGGATCGTTCGTATGTTTGTTTGGTTATTGTTTGGCTTATATTAGTGTGTATGGTGATGTTCTGCTGCTATGATAAGGGATCGTTCGTATGTTTGTTTGGTTATTGTTTGGCTTATATTAGTGTGTATGGTGATGTTCTGCTATCGTTCGTATGTTTGTTTGGTTATTGTTCGGTTTATATGAGTGTGTATGGCGATGTTCTACTTTGTGTATGCGTAAGGGATCGTTTGTTTGTTTGTTTGGTTATTGTTCGGTTTATATGAGTGTGTATGGTGATATTCTGCTGCTATGATAAGGGATCGTTCGTATGTTTGTTTGGTTATTGTTTGGC